ATGCAACCCATATTAACACATTGGGAAGGGGGAAAACGTATAACGAAACCTATGCGTGATCATCCACAACTAGGAATACTCCTAAGGGGTTCATACTTCTTATACCTGGGTCAACGGGATACCAATTCAACTAGCATGCAATATATAAGACTCATACAACCTACGAACGGTACCCGAAACATCAAACTAGACATAGGCACGATAGACGGAGTCCGTTGGGACACCACGGGGGTCAGGGAAACATCAAACGGGGAAGCCGGGGTCCCGAGTGTGGGAATTTCCAGCGGGTAGCCAGTGGGTGAGGGTTCACCCGCCGGCTGCCCGCCGGCGTTACTGTTCCGGGCAGCGGGTGCCCGGCGGGCAGCTGCCCGCCCGCCGGCTGCCCCTTTTCGGCCGCGAGTAGGTGGCGGGTCCCCTACCCCCACCTACCCCCCACTGACTCATTAACACCAAAAACGCCCCGGGAACCTTCGTGGAACCCGAGACCATGCTCAGACACTTTCAAACGCTATTGATAACACACGTAGACAATTAACGGATCAAAATCAAGAAACAAACGGCACATAACCTATCATGCTTTTCTAATCATAATAAACACCCGATCATGCGAAATCCCACCCAATATACCAAGAATAACACCACACGAACTCCACGATATAACCTAGGGTTCTAACTATTTTTTAAACCAACAAGAACACAATTCATCTCTCAAAATCAAGATTCGGTAGGAATATCATATAGCTATCAAGAACCTCATATAATCATTAAGAACATCAAGAACACCACGTAATTATCAAGAACGTCATTTAATCATCAAGAACCCATCATCGTCAAGATCATCAAGAATATCAATGGAATCATAACACCAATATAATGAATCATCAACACACAATAATATGGGGGATCCTAAGGGGGAATCATAACTATGAAAATAGGTTTTGTTGAGACATGGGTTACCTCTTAGCCTTAATTAATTCCTTGGCTATGAAGGGTCTTTCTTTAAGCTTTCGTGCTTTTTTGATTTCTTCTAAGGGGATTCTTGGAGCTCTTTGGGGTTGTGGGCGTTATTCTGGTGGGGGGTTCTAGGTGCCCTCTAGGTTCCCTATTTATATATCTAAGGGTCTTATTTAGGATCTAATCCTTTTATGACTAGGGGTTGGGTTTAGAGATGAGGGCCCACGGACCATAGTGGGCTTTTTCCTAATTAATTTTTGTAATTTAATTCTTTCTTTTGGGTAATTGATTAAATGATTAATTGGTTTTAGTGGCTGTAACACAGGGTGTTACATCCTCCCTCTCCGCAATTGAAGCATCGTAAGGGATTGCCCATGCAATCCTTGCCTCTATGGTTCTTGTTGCATCTCGGGCAAGGAAAGCCTTGGGCGCTAGGGTCGTTGTTTCCCAGGGGTGGCCTTTGGTTGGCCAGGTTACTCGGTCTTGTGTTGGTGTCGTTTCGTGCCCTTTTCACCGGTGGCGCCCCTCCTCCGGTGTTCCTTTTTCGCATTTGTTCCTGAACCCCGCATTGGAGTAGTTAGATTCGGTAGAGATTAGCGGCACTGGAGTAAGCCTCGTTGAGAGTCCGGGGTCTTCTTACCACTAGTGCTTTTCGGGCCTCAAAGTTGAGGCCCGATACGAACCTCTCTATTTTGGTTACCTCGGTGGGGACTAGTTCGGGTGCGAAGCGTGCTAGTTCAAGGAACCGTTTGTGGTATTCCATGACGGTAGTTGCCCCTTGTTTCAAATGGAGAAAATCTTCGTACATGGACGCCTTTACGTGTGTTGGATAGAATCGTTCTCGTAGTCGCGTCTTGAGGCTTTTCCAGTCGAACCCTGGTTTTTGTTGGTAAGCGGGCCCCTCATGGATCCACCAGAGATCGGCCTCGTGTCCGAGGTAGAACGAGGCTATCTTTACGAGACGTTCTTCTGGGCATTCCACGAGCCCTAGAATTTTGTCGAGGGTCCGGATCCATTCTTCTAGGATCACGGGGTCCTCTTCTCCTGAGAACGTGGGCGGTCGATGGTTTGAAACTTGTCGGGCGACGTCTAAGTTCGCGTTTGATGGAGGTGGTGGGGGCCTGTTGTTGCGGAGAGCTACATCGCTCAATGCTAGGGCGACTTGCGTTAGTTGTTGTAGTGTTTGGGTTAGGGGGTCGTGTGCGGCGGGTTCTGGAGTCCTTGATTGTCTTCTGTTGGGTGCCATGCTGTCGTCTTCCTGGGTCAATGTTTATAAGAACATTAAATTGGGGCTTGGTGCCCTTCTCTTGACGTGATAAGCGGGGAAAGTTTTCTTCAGATAAGGGAGGAAACAAAGTGAGGGGGAGTTATGTGTAGGTTTCACAATCTCACCACGCGTCCTAAGATTCCTGGGTCCTGTATTCCTAAATACCTAGAGTTCCCGCCTAATGTCCTAAAGTCCGGTCTTAAGAGTCTTATCCTAGGGTCAAACTTAGGCTCTGATACCAACTGTAACACCCCAGATTTTCAAGACTTTTAAAACTTATATAATAAAGGTAGAATCTTATTGAATTCCAAAACACAATACAAAGTGTACGGGGTGTTATGCCACACCTGAGCTGGGGAACTCAGGTGCACAGGCTAACTAGCTAACATCCTTAATAAGGAGAGTGCATAATATGGCGCGCAGGCCGAAAAGGAAACTATCTACTTCTATGCTTCGAGGTTATAGCGCGCTCCCGTGCCTATACTTCTGTGCCTGAAAGCGAAATATATCTGTTCAGCGAGAGATGCTGGTAACCCACTCCAACGCGTTGAAATACAATACATATAGATATATACATAGATATACGAAAAGTCATTTCGAAGCATGAAGACATATCCTAAGAGACTCTAGCTTTCAAATCAAGGAACCGACTCGACAAATAGGGGTACACACGATCCACAGTCATATCCAACTATATACAATTCTCAACATAGGGCACAGTTACAGATAAACACAACCTATAATCACAATTAAGCATGTATAGTTTACTAGCAAGAATCCTATGGTCACGTTTCCATAACAGTCACAACATGAATCCCTCTCATCTCGTCATATAGAACACTTTGTTGGCGCCACAGGACCAATCGCATGCCCATACATGAGGGTCAGCACATATAGCTCCGACACGGCCCCGCAGCACCCTGCCCCGTCTCACAATACGGAGGGGTCGATCGCAACCGACCGATGAACCGTAGCTCATCATAGTTTGATCGCAACCAAACAGTGGACCGCAGCCCAAGTGTATGTCATCTGACCGCAGCCAGGAAATATGAACCGCAGCTCATGTAGAACGGTGGACCGCAGCCCTATATAATATTTATATACCTGACCGATCTTAACAGGCCTGGTTAACAGTTGGGATGGTTCTCAACCCATTCAACTGCCCGTAGAGTGGACCGCAACCCTATATAATAATTATATACCTGACCGATCTTAACCGGCCTGGTTAACAGTAGGGATAGTTCTCAACCCATTCAACTGCCCGTATAGTGGACCGCAATCCTATATAATATTTATATACCTGACCGATCTTAACCGGCCTGGTTAATAGTTAGTATGGTTCTCAACCCATCCAACTGCCCGTATAACCAATTTGATCGCAATCAAATTGGGGTATCATGCACACGTAACACATAGCAAGTACAAGCAGCCCATATTAGCACAATGGGAAGGGGAGAAATCGTATAACGAAACCTATGCGTGGTCATCCACAACTAAGAATAGTCCTAAGGGGTTCATACTTCTTACACCTAAGCCAACGGAATACCAATCCAACTAGCATGCAATATACACGACTCTTTTAACCTACGAACGGTATCCGAACATCAAACTAGACATAGGCACGATAGGAGGGGTCCGTTAGGACACCACGGGGGGTCGGGGGAACATCAAACGGGGAAGCCAAAATCCCGAATTGGGATGCAAACCAGCGGGTAGCCGGTGGGTGAGGGTTCACCCGCCGGCGACAACTATTCCGGGCAGCGGGTGCCCGGCGGGCAGCACGCTGCCGGCGAGGCCATTCTTAGCCGTGGGTAGGTTGCGGGTCCCCTACCCCCACCTACCCCCCACTGACTCTTCTTCATAATTAAACGCCCCGGGAACCATCGTGGAACCCGGAACCATGCTTAGACACTTTCAAACGTAATTGACAATAACACGTAGACAAATAACGGATCAAAAAGCGAGACATACGGCACGTAACCTATCATGCTTCCCTAAACATAATCAATGCCCAATTATACGAATTCCCATCCAAAATACCAAGAATAATACCATACGAATTCCACGATACAACCTAGGGTTCTAATCCCTTTTTAAATTAACAAGAACACAATTCATCCTTTAATATGAAGATTCGGTAGGAATATCACATAAACATCAAGAACATCATACAATTATCAAGACATCATATAATCATCAAGAACACCATAAAATCATCAAGAACCTGTCAAGATCATCAAGATCACCCATGGAATCACAATACCAATTATCAAGATCAATATAACGAATCATCAATCACACATGAATATGGGGGAAATCCTAAGAGCGGAATCATAGCTATGAAAATAGGTTTATTGAGACATGGGTTACCTCTTTGCCTTTAATTAATTCCTTGGCTATGAAGGGTCTTCCTTTAAGCTTTCTTCTTTCTTGATTTCTCCTAGGGGAATTCTTGGAATTCTTGGTGTGGTGAGAGATTATTGTGGTGGGGGTTCTAGGTGCCTTCTATGTTCCCTATTTATATATCTAAGAGTCTTACTTAGGGTCTATTCCTTCTAGGACTAGGGGTTGGGTTTAGAGATGAGGGCCCACGGACTATGGTGGGCCTTTTCCTAATTAATTTCTGTAATTTAACTCTTTCTTTTGGGTAATTGATTAAATGATTTAATTGGTTTAGGGATCGTAACACGGGGTGTTACAAACTTGGTCAAAGGTTGAGCCACCTTAGCGAAATCCAAAACAAACCTTCGATAATAACCTGCTAAACCAAGAAAACTTCTTACTTCCGACATCGATGAAGTGCAGTCCATTCCTTCACTGCCCGTATCTTGTCCGGATCCACAGAAATCCCTCTACTATCAATCACGTGGCCTAGAAACGTCACACTGTCTCTCCAGAATTCGCACTTAGAGAACTTGGCATACAACTGTTTCTCCCTCAAGATCTGAAGTACCGTCCAAAGATGTCCAACATGCTCTCTCTTATGTTTCGAATAGACCAAAATATCGTCGATGAACACGATCACAAAATCATCGAGGTGGGGTTTGAACACTATGTTCATCAGATCCATAAAAACTGCAGGGGCATTAGTCATCCCAAACGGCATAACTGTAAACTCGTAGTGACCGTACCGAGTCCGTAACGCAGTCTTAGGAATATCCTTGTCTGCTACCTTTATCTGATGGTATCTTGACCTCAAGTCAACTTTGGAAAACACTCCCGCGCCACGGAGTTGATCAAACAAGTCATCTATTCTTGGATGAGGGTATTTGTTCTTGATGGTAACTTGATTCAGTTCCCGGTAGTCAATACACAACCTCATACTCCCGTCCTTCTTCTTTACAAACAACACCGGAGCTCCCCAAGGCGATGTACTTGGCCGGATATAACCCTTGTCAAGGAGTTCTTGCAATTGAGCCTTCAACTCTTGCATTTCAGGCGGAGCCAAACGATACGGGGCTTTAGAGATGGGTGCAGTGCCCGGCATAAGATCCACTGAAAATTACACTTCCCTAGCAGGCGGCATACCCGGTATTTTTTTGGGAAAAACATCAAGAAACTCACGGACTACGGGAATAGATTGAGCTACCTCTCATTTTGCCTTCAAGTTCTCGACCGAACAGAAGTACAACTCATTGCCTTTATCCATATACATCTTCATCTTTGTCATGGATACCAGCTTAATTTTGGGTTCCTCCATCTTTCCACTGTATGACACTCTTTTCCCGCTAGGTCCTCGTAGCACCACCTTCTGATCTTTGCACAAGATTTGGGCTCTAAACCGCCCCAACCAGTCCATACCTAGGACCACATCCATCCCGTCCAAGTCGTACTTGATTAGATCACTAGGAAACTCTTCACCTTTGATGTAGATCTTGATGCCCTCAAAAAGACGGTCGCACATTTCCTAACTTCTCCCGATGCTACCTTCACGTTAAACCTCACTCCCGTGCCCCCAGACAAGCCCAACTTCTTCACGAGTCCGGGTGATACGAACGAGTTAGACGCCCCAGAATCAAACAAGACTGTTGCTTGCACAGATTGCACAAGGAAGGTTCCCACTACTACGTCACTGTCACTTGTTCGAACTTCATTTAAGGTGAGCACTCTCCCTTGAGATGACCCTACCGCCGGATGATGAACCTCTATCCTCCCATACTCTCTTATATCACGGTGTGCTGGCAAAGTCACTGCACTATGACTTACTCTTGTGGACGTACCACTCCGGATCCACCGCTCAATCACTCCAGAAGCATTGCTAGCTTCAGTCAACCGAGATTTCTTAACCACTTCACCCACATCTTCAAACACTGAGGTTCGCTGACGAGGAGGCATCACAGACTTCTACAACAACAACGAGATTACCAAAAAGAGCAAACAAGCAAGACAGCAAACAACACACATCTCACCGTGCAACCTAGAGTCCTAAGCTTAACACTTAGCTTCTTAAGGTCGCTTAGAGGTCTCAAAACACACTTAACCACTTAGAAAGTCTAGACTTAACTCTTCCTAGGCTCAAACCTATGCTCTGATACCAACTGTAACACCCCCCAAAAACAATGCCCAATTGAAGTCCTAACACAAGCAGATTAACAACAAAACTAGCACAACGGAAGATAAACGGAAACTGGATAAAAGAAATCCAAAAAGGGGTGTTATGCCACGTATACCACACTAGGTAACGCTAAGGCAACAATCTGCAAGTGTATAATACTATCCCAATACATCAATCTAAAACAGTCTAAAAACATTGGCGCAGAGGCCACAAAAACACAAAGGTGCTAAGCTACCAGGCTCTAGACATCGCTCTCGTCTAAACACCACCTGAAAGATACAAAGATAAACATTGGGACGACGCCCGGTCAGCGAATAATGCTGGTAACCCACCAATACCGTTAAATATCATAAATAGGTAGATATAAGATATAAAAACCATTTTCAAAACGGAATACATATATATAAGTCAAAAACCAAGATCACCAGTCAACACAAGACTCATCACTCTCAAGACCACATGGGAACACATCCCAAACCACAAAGGTTAACCACACACAAGGATAATGACTCACCCAACGGCAACACATGAAAAAACAACACAAGCCACCGTGACTACACACGTCACGAGAGAAGATCACACAACGCCGGCTTTACAAGCCCTCACCACATCACCCATCGCGAGTTGGTATGCCTTCCTTATGCCCTGTTCCAACATTATGGCTACCCCCAACCTTGTACCTTCTTTCCAACCATTACCTCCAGGATCCCCTGTACAGCCAAGTCCAACCTTATTCCGCCGGGACCGTCGTCCCCCACCTATAACCACCAACGAACCACCACCAATCACGGCAACACATGCCCGGATAACACATGTTATCCCCCAATAAACGTGGACCCATCACTCAGGCCACAACTCCATAATCACGTCACAGCCACCACGAGGACCGCTGCAATACCTTGGTGACTAGTGTCCCATACCACTAATCGTGCAATCCAGGTAGAGCCACACACGCACCACCACTCACACGAGAGTCAAACAACGGATTACAACGAAGGTATGAAACATACTCAATCAAGGAACGGATCACAGCCCAACAACAACAAAGATGAATTAGAATTAATTACTCTATTAATTCATGGATTGGAGTGTGGATTTTTGGGGTGTCACAGTATTCTATGCAATGTTGTTTGGTTCAAATCTCTCTCTTATACATTGTCCTTCAGTTTAATTCACTTGTTATCAGAATATGTTGTTTGAATATGAAACACTTAATTATCTATTGGTTAGCTTTCAAACATTATATGAACTCGTGTTTAACCCCTCACTTCTTAAATACGCCTAAAGCCATTCCTTGAGGACGATATTCTTAATTTTAATATCATCACTAAAACCAACTTTGAAATGGCGCCGTTCCCGGGGAATGACATCGGTTTTGAGTAGTGAGTCCATTAGGGTTAACAAGAGACAACATTAAAGTTAGAGAGTCTAACCCCATTTACTTTTTGATTTGCAATTTACTTTGTTTACTTGTGAACTTTTGTCTCTTGAAATGAAACTACTCTCTCAAGCAACAACTTTTAGTTGCAAAATCTTTCTCTTGTCTTTGTGATTGTAGGTTGTTCCAAGATGATGTTTTCTATGTCAAGATTCCAACAAGAGGATCAAGGAAGCTATAAGCCACAAAGGAGATGCTATGATGCTCAATCTTTCAATGGTCACAACTATGGAGAGTTTAAGGACTATAGCTCACCTTTTCCAAGAAGATATAGAACTTCACAAGAGGAAAATCGACCAAGAAATCCACCACCACTTTGGGCTCAATATGATGATCAAGAGATGGCTTATGATGATTATTACCATCCAAGGAGAAACAAAAGCCATTATAAAGAGCCTCAAGACCACAATCAAGACCAATATGAAGGATACGAGGACTACATTCCCTAAGAAAGATACAATGATGCTCAATCATATGGCCCTTCTCCAACTCAAGCCTTACATATAGAAGATGGATATAATAATGCTCCATCACAAAATCTCTATTCATAGAAAGCCTACCCTTGTAACTCTTACTCTAAAAACATCCAACACACACAAACCCCTCAAAATGAAAAATATTTCCCAAACACTCAAGATGAACACTACCTTTCATACGCTCAAAATCCTCAAGACAAGAGGAATAAGATCTTGGCAATGTTGGAAGAATTAAAACAAGACATGACTCACTTCCGACAAGAATGGAAGCAAGAGCTAAGGTAAGTGGCCTCCATATTAAGGCAAGAGGTCTCCTCCCTAAGGAAAGAGACTCGAGCATCAATCCGGAACTTTGAAGATACAATGGCTTAAGTCGCCAAAGGTGAAATGAAGGAGAAAACACTTGTCATAAGACTGATGTTGGTGATTGCATGCTTGAATGTGATGATGATTGTGCTCAAACTTGGGGTGATATTTGTGATGCTGATGTTGTTGGTGCTTGTGGTGAGAATATTGGTGAGGTTGTGGATGATGAAAATGAATTGAAAGGAGATGTGATAGAGGAAGAAAAACATGAAGAAAATATTGCGGACAAAGAAGAAAAGGTTGAAAGTAAGAATGTGTAATTTGAGGAAATTCATTGCAAAATCGTTAAAGAGGAACAGAATAAGAAGATGGAGTATGAGAGTGAAGAAGAGGGAGGTGAAGAAAAGTTATGAGATGAAAATTTTGAAATGGAAATGGAAGAAGAAAGGGAAAAAGAGGATGAGAAGAAGAAGATGGAGTATGAGAGCATATTCTTTGAAGTAGATCAATGCCAAACCTTTGAAGAGAATATGCTAGTATTGAGCTTCAAAGAGTTTGTGAACGCCCGACACTTGAGGGCGTATCTTGAAGAGCAAGTGGATGGGGCAAAATGACTAGTTCTCGTCCAAGTGTCCATGGATGGTTGGTTGTATGTTGCGTTGAGCCAAGGACGTTAAACGTGGTGCTTCTTGGGAGGTAACCCAAGGTTATCTTACTTTTTATTATTTTCATTTTTCCATTGTATTGTGTGGTTTTTAATTTTCTAGGTAATCTCTTGTTGGTTCAAGATCTTCTAGAAGGAGATCGGAACTTTGGTGGAAAAATAAGCAAACGAGAAGGGGTTTTGAATGATCGGGATAGAACGGGTATGGCAAATGTACTACCTTTGACTATCACTCCAAGGGAGTTACCTACACCCTCCAATCCGTATTCATGCATGATTTAACCATAACTCATTCATATGTTTGTTTCGTTGTTGCATGCTCCACCCTATTTTATAGGCCCACCCCCACACTAGTTGTTTGTCTAATGTTTTGTCTTGCTTGGGGGTAAGCAAGTTCTAAGTGTAGGGAGGTTTGAGATTATTGAGAGTTCCTTGTGCTTTCTTTGTGTTCATGCTAAAGATTGGGTAAATAGGTGACACATTTGAACTCATTTGTGTGTTGTTGTTCCTTCTACCATGCATTTGTTGTGAAAGGAGTGTAATAGGTTCAATTGGCTAAAAATTTTTGGAAACAGCCTCTTAGATCGTTTGAGATTTGAATAGGACCCAACTAGGATTTATATTCATTTTGTATGCTTGTTTGAGGTTCAATCCACCACTTACATGGACCAAGGTTAATGATCTCTAAAAATGGGAGTGTATACGGGATAGTTTTGTGAAATGTAACGTGGTAAGACCTAGAATGAATTTTCTCGGTGTGACACAAGCCAAAATGAGAGATTCTACTTTTAGTGAGTTGTGTGATTCCTACTCCTAATAAAAAAAAAGGCGAGAGGGTTGAAAAAAAAAAAAAAGAGTCAATGGAAAAAGCTAAAATAGACTTTAAGCTATCCTTGCTTGAGAGGGAAAAACATGAGGTGAGCCATCTCGTAGGATTCAGGTAACCATTGAGGTTTTTGGTTTTCTTAAACTTTGAGCCAATTGAGGGAGTCACACTCATTTCACCACATTTCCCGGGTAGAAGGAGGATCAACATGTGTTTGATTTCATGTGTATCACCTGTTTGCACAATCATTTAGAAGAAGTAGAATTATGATGAGTATGTTTGGCATTTCTACTTGCGATTTCTTGGATTTTGTCTTCCTTGAGGGCAAACAAAGTTTACGTGTGGGGAAATTTGATATACCATGAAATAGCCTTATATTTGTGATCATTTATGCATGTTTTGGCTCAAATGTTAGGTAAAGGATGGTGCAACAATGCAAATTTGGTGTATCTTGATTGCAGAAAGAAAAGATTGACTAACGGTGCAAGCAAGTATGAAATGACGCTAATCTTGGGAGAAAACAAGGGTCTAAAGAACTAGGGAAGCACCTGAAGGCACACCGGGGATCGAAGGAGCAAAATGATAGCATGAAGGTCATTTGGCTGGACTCATGCTGGCACTCACACCGTGAGTGCCAACATCAGTCCTTGGCTGATTCTCTGGTTAGGAGACTCACGGTGTTAGTCTCAGCATGAGTGTGCTGATCAGATTCTAATCACTGAACTCATGCTGATAGTCACACCGTGAGTGTCAGCATGAGTCTCAATGATCAGAATCTGACCAATGAGACTCACGGTGGGTCTCCGTTTTATATTTTTGCATTTATATTACTTGAACTTTTGAATTCCATGTTTATTACTTCAGTTGATTCTAGTTTTACATTCCAATTATGAGTAGTTGAATATATCTAGGGATTTGAATTGAACTTCATTGTATGGATGCCAATGTGACTTGAATTGCATACATTAGATTTTGTATTGCCTTCATGTTGAACTTGGTTATGAATTTGATGAAATTGAATGTAATCTTTCATAGTTATGCCAAATTATGTCAGAGATATTTGGAATTGGTGAAATCACCTATGAGAATAGGGTTACACCATAGCCATATCTTTCATATTTCTTACTTTTCCTTTGAGAAAAGGGAGTTTGAAGGAAATGAGCACACAAAATGTTTGTTGAATTGCCACATCTAGCCAAGATTCCATGAGAATGAGACTTCAGATTAGTTAATAATCCAATTGATCACGAGATTGACGTTGACACTTATACCATTTCCTGAAGTTTGTCATTATGAATTTCTTAGCTGACGACACGTCTTTCCTCGTGTGTCAAGAAGAATGTGTGTTGGGATGAATCCCAAGTTGTATCATTCTCAAGGGATGAGAAATTGGAGTTGCTAACTTTGGAAACCAAAGATATCGTCATTATTTGAAAGCATGTCACGCGCACACAAAACAATAGTTTGTTGTAGCAAAACGAATCATCTAAACACAAGAGGTAACAAATGTAAAGGTAGATAGGGTTGAATTTCTTAGTGTGGATTATGATGCTCTTGAATCATTTAACATAGGGAAAGAATGACGATGCAAATGCTAAGCTTAGGGAATGACATATGTCTTTTCGTAACATAGACTACTAGGATTTGCTTATGACTTGCCTAAGCCTTTCATCGAATACCATGCCTACATTACCTTTCATTGAATACCATGCCTACAAAAGCATACATGAATCTAAATCTAATCTAAGCAATAAAAATGAAAGAGTAGAGATATGCCAAACAAGTAGATTAGAAAATAAGAAGAAGTCTTGCAAGATCTCTTGAATTGGAAGTTGTCAATCTTTTCCTTCAATGAATCTCCCAAACAATCCAAGCATAGATTTACAATCTAGAGTGTTTTCTATCACTACAAAATGTCTAATCTCTTCCTCTATCTAAAAACGTGTAAAAGTCTAATAGAGCTCTTCCAAAAGTGGCTTCTCCACCTCTAAAACTCTGATCTAAAACCTTTTAAATAGCATCCCCTTTCAGTCCCTTTCGCAGCCTTCAACACCCCGGACAACGTGCACCACAACGCACGTTGTGATGCGCGTTGAACTTTCTGGAAATCTTCTTTGTTTTTGCCTCTCCACAACACATGCTGAAACATGCGTTGTGGCCTTCGTGGCTTGGTCTCGGCTCGTCTTCTTGTCCCGCTTTCGCTCTGGTTGTGCCACTTTGCCTCGTTTAAGCCTAAAACTTACCTTAAAATATATAAAACACAAAACCTAGCTAAATTGGCATAAAATGGATACACAGAGGATTGTTTTAGACTTAGAATTCACCCCAAATAGACCTTAAAAGTGTGTGTCTTCGACACTTATCAATAACTTCAACTTTAGACTACACAAGGTATTCTATGCAATATTGTTTGGTTCAAATCTCTCTTTTATACATTGTCCTTCAATTTAATTCACTTGTTATCAGTATGTGTTGTTTGAATATGAAACACTCAATTATCTATTGGTTAGCTTTCAAACACTATATGAACTTGTGGTTAACCCCTCACTACTTAAATACTCTTAAAGCCATTCCTTGAGGACGATACTCTTAATTTTAATATCACCACTAAAACCAACTTTCAAAACCCAAACCACCTTTCTCTTTCGGGACACTTAAACCATTCCACGCTCTCCACCGTATTCCTCGTCGACCACCTGCCGATCCAGTCCACCAATAGTGCAACACCCCCGATTTTACCAACATTTTAAAACTTAAATTCAAATGATAAATAACTAATCATTAAAGCAATCAAAAGCGGAAGTTATTAAAACCGGGAAAGGTGTTATGCCACACCCATAAACAATGGGTGCACAGGCTAAATCTATCACAATCATTAAGCATAGCAAGTCTAGGCACACAGGCCACTAATCTAGGCACACAGGCCAATAAAAGATAAACGTCTAAGCACAGGAGCTACACTATCTAGAGTCCACATCTAGCCCGCTTGTCATCTACTCAAGACCTGTAAAACATAAGGATAACACCCGGTCAACGAATAATTCTGGTAACCCATCAATACGCGTTAAATAGAATAGTATAGATAGATATAATCAAAGCCATTTGGAACTGAGGAATACAATATATAGTAATTTAAACACCAAAGACTCATCACACTCTCAATAAGAATGAGGATCATCAACCTCAACAAGACAACAAACCACAACAACAAGGGACAACATAACTCTAGATGCAACCTACCATTCACAAGGTAGAGTTCATCAAACACATACTCGTAAGCAAGGGAATCATACAATCACATAATGACACATTCATGTTTCAAGTTCCAACCTTATACCTTCGTACCACCCTTATGGCTACCCCCGACCTTATCTCAGTTCTAACCTGTACCTCCAAGTGCCACCCTGTACTTCTGAGTCCAACCTTTCCCAGTTTGGGGCCATCGTCCACCACCAATCTACACCACCAATTAGAATACCACCGATCTCAAGTACACGAAGGTATTGTTCAATTCATAGTCATATACCACCGATCTCAAGTGAGCAAAGCTCAAGTAACAAAACCACCAATGTCATTCATAGTCACACATAGTCATCATCATCAAGAGTACTAAAGCTCATCAATAGCCCTAATCAAGTATCAACAAAGGGTACACCAATTTGTACAAGAATACACCATAAGAATAAATCAAGGGATTTCAACAAAGTCACGAGACAATACTCAACAATAAAGGATTACAATCCCACTTCAAAATGATTGACAACTCGAGTTGCCAACCCACAACAACAAGGAACAAACCGTACATACTAGCATATCAACATCAAGCTAGCATGCTCATCAAAAGGATAAACCAAAAGGGTTCCAACGAACCTTCAAGACTCATATTAGCCCAACGAATCACAAAGTTGGACCCTTAGCACGATTCAGGACACCAAATCCTAACATGGATTCCTAACAAATCGTTCTAGACATACAAAACGTCAAGAAGACTCACAAAGAGCTCAATAATCAAGCAACAGGAGGTCAAAACATCAACACCACGAAGAAAAGAATCACGGGGAACAAATCCCCGCACCAACAATAATGGTTCCCCGCGGGTGGGGCCATGAGTAGACCCCCACCCGTGGGCCTGCCCGCTGGTACATACCCTGTTCACCCAAATTCCCCGCGGGTGGGGCGGCGGGTAGGCCTGTAACACCCCCGATTTATCTACATTTTTAAAACTTAAATTCAAAGGTAAAAAACTAATCATCAAGACAAACATTAAGCGCAAGCTATATTAAAATCGGGAAAGCATTATGCCACACCCATAAACCATGGGTGCACAGGCCAAAGACTATCAAAACAAAATGCATAACAAGTCTAGACTCACAGGTCACTAGTCTAGGCACACAGGCCAACAAACGATAAACGTCTAGCATGGGATATATACTATCTAGAGTCCTCATCTAGCGCGCAACGGGTTAGCTACTATCTCTGGCAACTGAAAAGAGTTTCCCATGTTGCCCACAAGTCACAAGTAACCAAACGGCAATCCGGAGCTTTAAACCCACTACCGGATGCAAGCACACATAAGTCCCCACACTGTCCACTTTACCAGCTCAATCATCATATCACATTAATCCATCATCTCAACATGAGTCAATACACACGGAATCTAGAGATTCAACAACACCTAGATTCCACATAAAATGTGTGTACAACAGAGGATAAGCTCAACAATAGCTTGATCAAGGAAAAATCATACACACAGGATCACATCATGGGATTAAATCAAGGGGTTTCAATGAAGGACATGAAACGATACTCAACAACAACAATGGACCTCAATTCAATATCAACATGATTGGCAACACGAGTTGCCAGTCCTCAATAGAAAGGGACAAACAAAACATACTAGCATCAATGACACCAAGACTAGCATGTATATCAAACGGTTAAAATAAAATGGTTCCATCGAACCTTCAAGACTCATATTAGCCCAACGAATCACAAGGTTGGACCGTTACCACGATTCAAGACACCAAATCCTACCATGGATTCCTACAACATCGTTCTAGACATATGGAACCTCAAGAAGACTCACAAAAGCTCAACAATTCAACAACGAGGCCAAAACATCAAGTACCAAAACGGAAAGGACCACGGGGAAAAATTCCCCGCAGTCACTAAACATGTTCCCCGCAGGTAGGGCCATGGGTAGGTCCCCACCCGTGGTTCCACCCGCGGGGTATGTCCTGCACCCAAAAATTAGCATTCGCGGTTTTTCTTCTACAAGGCTAAGTTTAAGTCCAAATGACCCCAAATCTTCCATACCACAAAGATATGACTTAAACCAATGAATATCTCAAATAAAAGCATTTAAGAACCCTAAATACAAGCTCTAAAAATGCATTATCCCAAGATCATGCATTAATCACTCAAACACATCAAGAATGTCACATAGTAGCCAATAATTATTATTATCAAGTGAAAATAGGTTTTGTGTAGCATGGGTTACCTCTTGTAGACCAAGAACACCTTCTTCAACCTCAAAGCAAGACCAAAGCTCCTCTAGATCAACCTAGCACTTCACCCACCACTAGATCTTCTACAAACCCCCAAAACCCACAAGGTAGATGAAAGATTTAGAGAAAAGATTGGGGAATCTTGTAAGGAAAAGGTAGGCAAGGATAGATCTTACCATTCCTATCCTTGTAGTTTTGGAAAGTTGGAATCTTGGTGGAAGACTATGCAAAGCTTGGAAGTTCCCTTTTTGACTTGGAGAGAAAGATAGGATTCTTTTAGAGAGAGGTTGGAGAGTTTTTAGAACTTTGTCTAGCATGGAATGAAGACAATAGGTCTTGCTTGGGAAACATGAGCACTTCTCACTAGTGAAAAGACCAAGTTACCCTTACTAAGGTTTGGATGAATAAGGGATTGAGGTACAACACACAAGGCACAAGGTACACCAAGAAGAGTATTCAATTTCTAGTCCTTCGACTATGAAATTTCAGAATTTTAGGAAGAAGTTACTAAGGAAGGCTAAGATTAATTCCTTAATTATTCCCAATTAGCATTTAGATTTACGGGGTGTCACATCCTCCCCCCCTAACAAGAAGCTTCGTCCCAGAAGCTTGGGCACGACGGGTTACCAAAAAGACTAGCAATGAACAAAGGTGTGACAACAGAAAGCAATGAACAAAGGTGTCCACCAACTAATCAAAGCTAAAGAAATCAAGGTTTCAATTTACGGTGATAAGATTGATAAGCTTAGAATTAGGCTGAGGGTTCACAATGGTAAGTCAAGAAAGAAAGATAAGGTGATAAACAAAAGATTTACCGGAAGGGAAGACTAATTGTACCTTAAACTTAAATCCCTACTTATTACTAACCACCGATCTACCCAGACCTAGACGTCTTAGCTAAGGAACAAGCTACAACGGAAACTAACACCAAGAGAACTCTAAAGTTGGATTACCAGGGAACGAAGAATAAGGGTCGCGTCTTCAACAGTTCACCGTTGATTCCTCCAAACAAAGGAAGCAAGCTACTCACACTGCACATCATGATCTCAACAACCGCTTGAACTGGATCGGTCACTTCCAAACAAAAGCCACCACTGCCAGCTCCAAAACACAATCAGGATGTCCTTCTCCCTAGCTCTTGGGCTAACTTGTTGCAGGCTGCTAACTTAACACTTGCATTAACACACCTCCACAACTCTCTACAAAGTAGTGCTTGAAAACTTCAAAACTTTCGATCTGGATGAAAGGTACAAAGCAGGAACGGTAGCAAGGAAAAAGGTAACTCGGGGGAAAGAAGGTTCACAAGAAGAGACTTGGTTCAACGAAGAAGGTTAGAGCGAAAGGTTTAGGTTCAAAACTCGAGGATCACGTTACTTAGGAATAGGATCAAAGTCATCAAAGTGCAACTTAGGAAATAAGGTTGCCACCTTGCATAGAATCATTAGAAGCGAGGAATACAAGAACGAGGTTTAAAAGGATAGAAAATGATTTCCTAGCGGAAGAGTTCTATGTTAAGGTTCAAGGATAGCATTGATCAGAAAGGGAATCAAGATTTTCAAAGTCACAACTTAGGAAAATGAGGTTGTTACCTTGTACAGAGTCAATTCAAGAATGGAGCAAGAACGAGTTTCGAAAAGATAGGAATGATTTTCCAATAAAAAAAGATTTTGGTCCGTCAAGGTAAAGAGAGGAAAACAGCTTTAAGGGGGTTAGGGATTTCCGACTTCGGGCGAGCACGTCTGCTCGGCGCTTGATCACTACCACTTTTGTCGAACTGAAGGTTTTTTTCTTCGATTTTGACGCAACTTAACTCTCAGACCTTGCCAGATTTCCTTCAAAAGCTGAAGTCACCGTCGTCTTACACAAGATGGTTAGGAAAGAAACAAGAACAAGGTTCGGAAGAAAAAGGATTACTCAAAAAAAGAATGATTGGGTTCGTCTAGGAGGAGGAAAAAGATTAAAAAGGGTCAAGGGTTCTTTGACTTCAAACGGTTTCTTCTGCTTGACAAGCTAAGAACACCCTCTCCATCGGTTTCAACTCAAAGGGAGGTGCAACAAAAGGGTAAAAGAACTTACTTCATCAGTTTCAACTTGCATCTGACTCACGACTGCGGATCTTTCCTCGCCGAGGTCTCGGCTTCGCACCCGGGTCCTGGCTGCTTATTCCACTTCATCCGCTGTTGATTCCCCTTTGAAGCTTGCTTCCCGACTGAGGTCTCACATTATCAGCTGGTTTCGGGCTTGCTGAAGTTTTCCTCTTAGGCACGCACTCAAAGGACCGGTGACCTTTCTTACCACAAGCAAAGCACTCTACTGGCTTCCTATGATAGTCCATCCTGGGTGGCCACATCCACACTTCTTGCAAACGGAGCACCTTCCCTTAACCTTGTTGTTCCGGATTGGATGGGGAGTCTCACCACTCTTAGAGTCGTTACTTTGAAGGCTTCTAGATGGTTCGGCACCGGTAACTGACAAACTCATAACCACAGGTGCAACACTTGTTTCAAAACTCCTCTTACAGCTCTCCCGGATTCCTTTCTGAACTTGTTGCACCCGGTAGAGGTCGGCTACACAAAGGTAGGCCTCATTGAGAGTCTTGGGCTTTGACACAGTCAAGGCTTTCCTAGCCTCGAAGTTGAGTCTAGCCACAAACTTCTCAACTTTACACTCCTCGGTAGGTACCAAAACTGAGGCGAAACGGGCTAACTCCAAAAACTTCTTGTGGTACTCCATTACCGACAAGGGTACTTGTTTAAGGTGGAGGAACTCCTCGTAATTTTCCGCCTTGACATGAGCAGGATAGAACCGCTCATGTAGCTTATCCTTCAGGATTTCCCAACTAAACCCCGGATCTTGTCTACAAGCTGGCCTTTCAAGCATCCACCACAAGTCTGCTTCTTGCCTAAAGTAGACCGTAGCTAACTCCACTTGGCGATCCTCCGGGAAGACCACTACTTCGAAGATCTTGTCAAACATCCGGATCCACTCTTCCAGCACGGAGGGATCTTCTTCACCGGCGAAGATCGGGGGACGGAGACTTGATACTTGGCGTACTACGTCCCGATTCCCATTCTGAGGAGGGTGGCTGTTGTTGAGGAGGGCGTTGCTCAGCGTTTGGGTGATTTGCGTCAGCTGATGCAGGCTTTGAACTAGCTGATCGTTGGTGGCCGGTTGTGAAGTCCTTGCACGACGTCCCGATGGTACCATCCTTGACTTCTACAGAAACAGCACGAAAACGGGAGGAAGCTTAGAAGCCCGCACCCTTACCCGGTGCCTTAACTTAAAAGATCCCATAACAGAAAGAATAACAAAGCATAGGAAGCGCAACAGAAAAAGATAAGAGAACTCACAACCTCACCGCGCGTCCTAAGGTTCATAAGACTTAGGTACTTAAACACTTAGGATTCGAGCTTAACTTCTTAAGGTCTTACACTTGAAAGCACTTACCTAGGTTCCACTCTAGGTTCCTAAAGTCCAACTCTTAACATCCTCGGCACAAACCTAGGCTCTGATACCAACTGTAACACCCCCGATTTATCTACACTTTTAAATCTTAAATTCAAAGGTAAACAACTAATCATCAAGACAAACATTAAGCGAAAGCTATACTAAAATTGGGAAAGCGTTATGCCACACCCATAAACCATGGGTGCACAGGCTAAAGTCTATCAAAACAATAAGCATAACAAGTCTAGGCGCAAGCCACTAGTCTAGGTGTAACACCCTGAAATTTTTAAACTTTTTAAACTTATATAATAAAGGTGAATTCTTATTAAATCCCAAAATCTACATAAGTGTGCGAGGTGCTATGCCACATCTGAGCTGGAGAACTCAGATGCACAGGCTAACTAACTAAAATCCTCAATAAAAATGCCAATACATAATCATTGCACGCAGGCCGAAAGGGAAACAAACTAATCTATGCTTCGGATCTCTAGCGCGCTCCGGGTCTATTCATTGGTGCCTGAAAGCCAAATATATCTGTTCAGCGAATGATGCTGGTAACCCACTCCAACGCGTTGAAATACAATATAGATAGATATATATATATATATATATATATATATATATATATATATATATATATATATATAGATATATGAAAACCATTTTGAAGCAGGAAGATATATTCTTAAGAGACTCTAGCTTTAAAACCCGGAATAAACTCAGCAAATAGGGGCAAGCACAATAATCAATGATAACAGTTAAGTAGAAACAACCATCATAAAGAATACGCAACTAAGGTCACAGATCACTTTCAAATCAATCATATCATCATCCCATCATCATTTCTGTCACACAATCACACTTTGGTGGCGCCACGAGACCAATCGCACGCCCCGAACATGAGGGTTAGTGCATATAGCACTAACACAGCCCCGCAGCACCCTACCTCATATCGCAGCATGAAGGGAGTTGATCGCAGCCAACCCTATAAACCGCTGACGAACTCAGCGGCGGATCACAGTCCTACACACTGCTAACGCACTCAGTCGGTGGACTGTGATCCACTTTACAAGGGTGGACTTATGATCCTACACACCGTTGATGGGCACAGTCGGTGGGTCATAGCGAATCAGGCCCTACACACCGCTGAGGGACTCAGTCGGTGGGCGATGTGTGACACCCCAAAAGTCCACACTCCAATCCATGAATTAATTGAGTAATTAATTCTATTTCTTTTGAGGAATTGATTCCTAAAATCCTGATTTTTAATACTCAAGGACTAGTATTTGACTAGTCAATCTTTAAGTTGTGTTGTACCCTGTGATTAGAGAGGAGTTCCCTTGTTCCTTACACTTTCTAAGGGTTAGTAAGGGTAGCCTTGTCTTTTCACCAAGAGTTAGTATTGTATCCCAACCTAGAAGACTTCTTCATTTCATTCCTTACAATTCCTAGAAAAATATCTCTACCTTCTCTCTAGAATAGAAGTGTAGCTTATTCTCCGAGCCAAGTTGAAACCCTTGTCAAGATTCCAAGTTTTGCTTCCAAGATTCAACCTTTCACCTATTTGGGCATCTAGAAGGGTAAGATCTAAGCTTGTCTAGTCTTTTTGGTTCCATCTTAGTTGTCTTTTTCTTAAAGGTGAGATCTTTATGATCTTTTGGTTTGATCTTGAAGTGGGTTTGAGAAGTGAGCCTTGTAGAGAGCTTGTTGTGGTGTTAAGAGAAGTCTTTTGGTCTTCAAGAGGTAACCCATCCTCTACAAAACCTATTTTGCTTACCTATATGTGATTTCTTGGATTCTACTTGTGTTTTGATATGAAATGTGAGGGTTTATGCATTTATCTTGTGATATTGCATATCTAGAGCTTGTGTTTAGGGTTCCTTTGTGCCATTGCTTGGCAATTTCCTGGTTCAAGTCATTTTGTTGTGTTTGGTGAGATTTGGCATGTTTTGGACTTGAATTTGTGTATGGAGAAGAAAATCCCCGAAGGGATTTGTTGTGGAACAGGTATGTTCCTGCGGGCGGAACGGCGGGCGGGGCACCACCCGTCGGCCTCCCCGCGGGTACAGGCCTCGTGGGATATTATTCCCGCGGGCGGGACCACGGGTAGGGCACTACCCGTGGGTCCACCCGCGGGTACATGGTTGTGGTGATGTTGGGATTTGTTCCCCGTGATTTGGTAGTCTTGGTGTTTGATCTTTTGACTTCCCGATGTTCTTTTGTGGAACTATTTGAGTGTCTTCTTGATGTTTTGTAGGTCTAGAACTATATGGTAGGTATCCATGTAGGACTTTGGTGTCTTGATTCGTGCTAAGTGTTCAACATTGTGTTTCGTTGCACCAATAGGTGTCTTGTGTGTTCCTCGGAACTATCTTGAGTTTCCCCGTTGATATGCATACTAGTTTGTTGTCTTAATGCTAGCGTGTGTGTTGTTTGTACCTTCTGTTTGGTTGATGAAAACTTGTGTTATCCATCGTTGTTGTCGTTGGGCTGTGACCCGTTCCTTGATTGAGTATGTTTCATACCTTCGTTGTAATCCGTTGTTTGACTCTCGTGTGAGTGGTGGTGCGTGTGTGGCTCCACCTGGATTGCACGATTAGTGGTATGGGACACTAGTCAACAAGGTATTGCAGCGGTCCTCGTGGTGGCCGTGACGTGACTATGGAGTTGTGGCCTGAGTGATGGGTCCACGTGATTGGGGGATAACATTGTGTTATCCGGGCATGTGTTGCCGTGATTGGTGGTGGTTCGTTAGTGGTTATAGGTGGGGGACGACGGTCCCGGCGGAATAAGGTTGGACTTGGTTGTACAGGAGATCTTGGAGGTAATGGTTGGCTTGAAGGTTCAAGGTTGGGGGTAGCCATAAGGTTGGAACAGGGCATAAGGAAGGCATACCAAACTCGCGATGGGTGATGTTGCGAGGGCTTTTAAAGCCGGTGTTGTGTGATCTTCTCTCGTGACGTGTGTAGTCACGGAGGCTTGTGGTGTTTTGGCATGTGTTGTCGTTGGGTGAGTCTTTATCCTTGTGTGTGGTTAACCTTTGTGGTTTGGGATGTGTTCCCGGTGTTATCCTTGTGAGTGGTGAGTCTTGTGTTGTCTTTTGATCTTGGCTTTTGACTTATATATATGTATTCCGTTTCGAAAATGGTTTTTATATCTTATATCTACCTATTTATGATACTTAACGGTATTGGTGAGTTACCAGCATTATACCAGGCGTCGTCCCAATGCTTATCTTTGTATCTTTCAGGTTCTGTTTAGACGAGAGCGATGTCTAGAGCCTAGTAGCTTAGCACCTTTGTGTTTTTGTGGCCTGTGTGCCAATGTTTTTAGACTGTTTAGATTGATGTATTGGGATAGTACTATACACTTGCAGATTGTTGCCTTAGCGTTACCTAGTGTATTGGATTTCTTTTATCCAGTTTCCGTTTATCTTCCGCGGTGCTAGTTTTGTTGTTAATCTGCTTGTGTTAGGGCTTTAATTGGGCCTTGTGTTTTTGGGGAGTGTTACACGATGATCCTTGGAGACTACGACCCTACACACCGTTGGTCCATCCCTCGGTGGATCGCAGCCAGTCGTAGCCCAACACACCGCCTGATTACTCAGGTCAGTGGACTACACCCTTCCTCGGGCTTATTGGCCCTACACACCGCCTGGCGCTTCCAGGTTGGCGGGTCATAGCACCCGAGACCCATGTGGACCGCAGCCCAAGAAGTGAATCACTGACCGCAGCCAGGAGAATGAACCGTAGCTCATAAGTAACCAAACAGTGGACCGCAGCCCTATATAATATTTATATACCAGACCGATCGTAACCAGCCTGGTTAACAGTTGGGATGGTTCTCAACCCATCCAACTGCCTGTATAGCCAATTTGATCGCAACCAAGTTGGGGAATCATGCATCACATAACACATAATAGCACATAATAGCACATTGGGAAGGGGGAGGCACATAAATAAGCTTACGTCTGATCATTCACATACTAAGAACAGTCCTAAGGGGTTCATACAACTTCCACCTAGGTCAACGGGTTACCAATTCAACTAGCATGCAATTCTTAAGACTCTTTTATCCTACAAACGGTACCCGAAACATCAAACTAGACTCAAGTACGACAAACGGGGTTCGTTGGGACACCATGGGGAATGGGGTACATCAAACGGGGAAGCCAAAGACCCAGGGTGGGTGACAAACCAGCGGGTAGCCGGTGGATGGAGGCCACCAGCCGGCTGCCCGCCGGCGACAACTTCTGGGCAGAGGGTGCCCGGCGGGCAGACGACTGCCCGCCGGCTGCCCGCTGCCTGGCGGTCTCACTTTGGGGAGCGGGTAGGTGGAGGGTACCCCTACCCCCTACTGACTCTTTTATCAAATACGCGTCCCGGGATCCTTCGTGGAACCCGAAACCATGCTTAGACACTTTTAAACGGAAATAACGACACCACGTAGGCAATTAATGGATCAAAAGCAAGAATCATTTTGAACACATCCTAACATGACTTCTAAACATAAGATGACCACTCAATGTTTATTTATCACGTCGAAAAAGATTAACAGTAAGATCACCAAATCACTGACACATGTTCATAAACCAAACACTGCATATTCATACTTGCTATACTATATAGTCATAATATACATACCGTAGATTCATAATTCTTGTACTATAAATCCATAATTTTTTTATTTCTTCAAATCAAATATTTTTCCCTGTGTAATATACATTGACACTATTTTGTTATTTGCATCAACACGATTTCATCTAAGCTTGAAGTGATAGACAACAAATCCCTAACCCCTGATGTTATGGAACAAGATAAATATGGAGATTGCCCTCAATTATTGGTAACTTAGCCAAAAACTTGAGCTTCTTATCATTTGAAATATGTGGGGTATGATGCATAATGAACACTGACATATTTTTTGTGCAGCTAATTGTGTTCCAAGAATACTTGACAGCACACAGTTCATCCTTGTACTGGAAAATAGAAGACATTGCTATAGAGTTCCTTCCTATAACGTGGAGAAAGACTGAAAATTCCATTGACTGTGGAATATATGTCATTAGACATATGGAAACATATAAAGGAACTCTAAAGAATTGGAACCCAGGATTCAAAAGAAATGCTAGTGTAAATGTAAAAGAAAAATATATTACATTCAAATTACTCTTTTTTTTTTTTTTTTTGCTATTGCATGAAACTGATTATTTAATATTCATTATTTGTAGGCTGATTTCATTTGTGAGTTGCGAGCTAAGTATGCTGCTACAATCATAACGTGGGATGAGAACAAAGAAAAGCACAAAAGTATGAAAGCGGCAAGGGATATGTCCAAACCGAATTGAATGTGGAATACTGTCGAGTTCTACAAACATTTTGAACATGGTTGACTGAAAAATTGTGAATTTTGATTTATGAAATTATGAATTGCGTAGTGGGAATGTATATTTTTGCACTTATGACTATGGTTCTATTATTATGAATTTATGGTTCAGAAATATGGTTCTATTATTAATTTGTGAACATATATTAGGTAATTCATATCTATGAAATTATGAACGTACAGTATTGTGATTATGAATGTACAGTTGTGACATTATGCATGTACAGTTACGGATTATGAATGTACAGTTATGGAATTATGAACACGGAGCTCTGACATTATGAACTTATAATTATGAATATATAGTGATAAAAGTTATGATCAGATCCACCTATAATTGTCAACATAGATGTTTAAATCTCTTTAAACAATAAGGAACAAATATTAAAAATATAGACTGCAAAACTTGTAAATGTATATATCAAAAGAATATGGTTCTATTATTAATTTGTGAGCATATATTATGTAATTCATAACTAAGATATTATGAATATACAGTGTCGAAATAATGAATTTTTATATGTGACATTATGTACAAATAACTCTAAAATAGTGAACATAGAGTTTCGAAAATTATGAATGTACATTTATAGGATTATGAATGTACAGTTATGAGATTATGAATGTACAGTTATGAGATTATGAATGTACATTTATGATATTATGAACGTATAGTATTGGGATCATGAATGTACAGTTATGACATTATGGATGTACAGTTAAGGGGTAATGAATGTACAGTTATGGAATTATGAACACAGAGCTCTAACATTATAAACTTATAATTATGAATATATAGTGATAAAAGTTATGAATATATAGTGATAAAAGTTATCATCATATCCACCTATAATTATCAACATAGGTGTTTAAACCTCTTAAAAAATAAGAAACAAATTTTAAGAATATAGACTGCAAAACTTGTAAATGTATATATCAAAAGTTGTGAATATGAAGTTTAAAGCTAACCAATTGTAATAGCACAATCTCAATCTACAACTACATTCTAATCTAAACTATTATCAAAATGAACAAACTGTGAACTACTAGAAGTTGGGTGTACAAGATATCCATCACCAGCAATCTCGGATATATTTTCCAAAACCAATGATTGAACGGCACCGTTTATATTTGAAGCAACATTATTTGCGGCACTCTTTCTTCCCCTTTCTATAGTGTACTTCTTTTCAATAACACTACTCCTCCTTTTATTACGCACACCTTTCAATCTCCGGCTTGAATGATCTTGAACAATACACTTGAAGATGAAACACCACTCTTCAATATTCACTTGCCCAATCCCAGCTTCAATCATTTTCTTTGCATTCTCAACAGCTTCTTCACAAAACTCTCTAGCTACACTATTGTCTTGACTAGAAAAAACCAATCTTTGAAATTTCCTACTAATCTCAACAACCCAAATTGAAGGAGGAACACCAACATTATAAGACAATGAATCAATGTTCACATTCCTACCAGCCGCAACCTTTTTAGTCCATCTTTTCATAACGTTCTTATCAAGAATACTAGGAACACAATTTACATTAAGTATGCGTAGACAATGACATCAAAGAATTCCCATTTCAGAAAACAGTTTGCAATTGCAAGAAACGTCAAGATTGGTTGGCTTCAAATTTACTTCATGCCTTATAATGTCTATATCTGGTCGCTACACATGATACTTGTATTGACACCCATCATTCAAAACCATTTCTTGATGACAAACACTGCCTTTCATTAATTGTTCCTCAAACAAAAAATAAATCTCAATAGTATATACCTCTCTAGCATGTGAAAGAAGTTTCACATGGTCGATCATCATAGCAGGTACCCCTTGAGCACAACGAAAATCTTCACCATTTTCTTTACTTCTCCACTCAGAAATAATGCTAACAAAAGAGGAATAGAAATCACACAGACCAGCAGTCTTTGATAGCCTTC